TGGAGTTTGAGAGCTATTGCGCTAGCCTCCTACATCCGTGAGGATTGCAGCCAGTTATGTGGAACGGCATCCACGGGGAAGGAAAAGAAAAGAAAGGAAGGTCTGGAGTCAGGCAGTGCAGAGCTGAGGCGGTAACTCCAGGACATAACCAAGGGCCCAGGCTCCTTCAAGCTTCCTGACCTGCTAACGGTAGGGGACCATTGTCCTCATGGTCACAAAATGTTTCCGTGCCCACAGGCATCTCATCTTCATTCTAGGAAGAATAAAGGGGGACAGGAGAAGGGATAAGAACAAAGTGTACATCCAACATCCACAGGCAGAGTCCACTTTGCCTTCACAAGCTCTCTTGGAAGCCCCACCCAGCAGCTTCGGTTTATATTTAGTTGGCCGAAAGTATGTCACATGGCCATGCATAGCTGCAAGGGACACTGAAATGCTGTGTGTTTTAAGCTGGACATGGTGTTGTTCTGAAAAAGGTCTGCCATCCTGCTAGTAAGAAGACACGGAGAATGACTATTGGTCAAAAGTCTGGAAGGGCTGGATGCATCTCCCTGGTACTTACGTGCCGGGCTCCAGTTTCTGCCTTGAGCGACACTCCAGCCTCCAATTGATCAGTCCCCCTCTCTGTACTGCAGGGGGATTTTCTGCTGTCAGAGACCACCCTGCCAGCCATGCTTGCCTGCTCCCATCAGCACAGCCCCCACCACATCTGAGTCACCGCAGGCACGTGCCACAGGGTCAACGGCAGGTCTTCCCACACCTGCCCAGGACCTGACCGGCCACAAGGGGTGCTGGTGGCTGGGGAGAGGCCAGGGAGGAAGCCTCGTTTCTCCTGGGAGTCACAGTGGAAGCGTATTCCCCCTTACTCGACCAAACGGTTGATTTCTGTGAAAGCACTGTGTCAACTGCAAGGAGTAAGAACAACAGAGAAACATCAGGATGATGATGGTAAAAGTCTTCTGGGGAGACCTGAAGGCTGAGCCCCAAGTTCACTAGCTCTCTGAGGCCCCCCACCCATTGTTGGGAAACAGCAGGAGGAAGGCTCCCGGCTGTCCTGAGTGGCCCGAGGCTGTAGGTCCTGAGGCTGCCCAGGCCACGTGGGCTGGCCAGCGCCCCCACGCCCAGCCCCTGGCCCTCCCCGAGGCTGTTCTGACCCCAAAGGAAGGGAACTGCCCGGGACTACATTTTACTGTAGCAAATTGTTCTGCTTCCAGATGGCTTGGGCCCAAAGCCATGTCATTTGCCGCAGTCTCTGCACACGGGAGTTGGGCCAGCAGGATGCCTGGGGACACTGCAGGGTGTCCAGGAGATGCTGTAGAACTCCCCACCAGCAGTGCGGTGTCACTGCAGCTGCCCACCGCCTGCAGACCTCGATGGCGGTCCCTCTGCCCAGTTCACCTGCTCTGAGCCATTTCCCATGGTGGGCGGCAGAGCTGGGCAGGGGGACCCTCCACACACGTCTTGGGCCTCGGTCTCCAGCCCTGGGGCTGATAAACATTCACCAGGGGGAGGCACTGCTGACGGAGTGAGGGGGGCACTTGTACCTTCCACACCCACCCCTGCCTTGGTGAATAGAGACAAGTCTTGGCTCTTCCACTGAAGGACCCTGTGACATCAGCAGACCCTGGGCCTCGGTTTCCCTAAGAGCCCAATATAGCTCCGGCTCCCATTCTTCAAGGTGGGCTTATACAGTCTCTATGGTTTGCACTTTCAGTATTTAGCAATTGACAGGTGATGTTGAATTGAGCCTCTATTATATTTGATAAGTGTCTTTTATATTAAGCATCTTCTATATTCCAAACCCCATTTCAGATGACATCCATGTGTCTTCCTATTTAATCTTCACAGAAACTCTGTGGAGGTACTGCTATTACTCCCATTTTACGGATGAGGAAACTGAGGCTCAGAGTATGAATTAGGATTATATTTGGTAGTCAATGACAGCAAACCCCAAGTAACAATGACTTAAGCAAGATAGCCCCCAAGATGGCTAAAAGCTATGTATCTATTTCTCTAACATGTAGAATTCTAGGGGTAGTTGTGCACAGTGGTTCTAAAGCTGTCAGTATTAGGGACCTAAATTCCTCCTCTTTTGCCATTCTATCCTCCATTCCCAAGTTTACCTCATTGTCCCAGAGGACTACACCTTCTCTTTAAAGACAGTCCCAGAAGGTTCCTGTGCCTCTTCTGCTTATATCTCATTGGCCAGAACTTAGTCACATGTCCAAATCTAGCAGCAAGGGAGGCTGGGAAATGTAGTATTTGTTTTGGATGATCCTCTGCCTGCTAAAAGTTGGCATTTTGTTGCAATAAAGGCAGTTATGGGTGGTTAAGAACACAGACCTCCCATTGAGTCAGACTGCCTGGTTTGGTCCTGTTTCTGACATGCGACCTTGGGTAGTTCATTCATTCATTTATTCAGCAACTACTCATTGGGCATCTACTCTGTCCCAGGCACTGTTCTAGGAGCTAGGTTTACAGCAGTGAAACAAAAAGACAAAAATGCCTGCCCCTGTGGAATTTATATTCTGGTGGAGGGAAACCAACGAGCCAAATAAGGAAGATTGTGTTAGGGAGTATTTGGTGCTGGGAACAAAGCAGGGAAGGGGCAGGAAGTGCAGTTTTACACAGGCGTTGGGTGGTGCCCAGGGATCTCTGGGTGAGAGTGCTCCAGGGCGGAGGGACCTCCGTGCAAAGGCCCCGAGGCAGGGGTGCACCTGGCTTGCTGGCACACTAGCAAGGAGGCAGCGTGAGGGCAGGCAGACTCGGGGACAGGACTCTGGCTCTGCTCTGGGTGAGATGGGGGCGGTGAGAAGTGGGTGATGAGGAGGAAAGGATGATCAGCCAATCCCCGCTGCCGAGTTGGGAATAACTGAAGGGGCAGAGAGGGAGCAGGGGACTCAGCAGGAGGCTGCCAGGACACGCAGAGACAGGTGATGGTGGCCGGACCGGGTGGAGGTGGCGCAGTGGGAGTGATCAGAGTCCCACGCGCTGTCTTCTGAAGGCGAGTGGGAGGAGTTGCTGGCATGTCGCCTGTGGGGTACGAGGGAGAGGCAAGGGTGACGCCTGTCAGCCTGAGCGACTGGAGGGTGGAGCTGCCCGTTTACTGAGAAGGGGACAGGGGTGAGTGAAGCAGGCTCGGGGCAGGGGCCAGGGAGGGAGCATGGGGAGTCCGGGTTGGGAAGTGTGGAATCCAAGGACCTAATAGACTCCGGGTGGAGAGCGCAGGAAGGCAGGCACACAAGCCTGGAGCTAGGGAGGAGTCCAAGCTGGACGTGTAAATTTGGGATGGGCCAACACATGGGATGATATTAAAAGGCAAGAAGTAGGAATGAGACTAAGGAGGTAAGTATGGCTATTTAATCTCTGCATGCCTCAGTTTCTCCATCTGTGCTGTGAGGATTAAATGCAGTGAAATATAAAGCACTTAGACCATTGCCTGGCAATGCTCGTGGTGGTGGTTGCTAGAACTTGGCAAGGCTACTGCATCACTACCTGGCCAGCGAGTGGCTCAGGTGCTCCAGGGAGGCTGCCGAGAACACTGTGCATGGCCTCACCCCGGCATTCAAGGCCCTTCGTAGCTCTGCCCACATTCTGGACTTAGCCCCCAGCTTTTCTCCCTCCCAGACTCTCTCCCATCCTCTGCCCCCTCACACTGGATGGACCACGCCTGATGAACATCCCCATGTGGTTCCTTCTCTGCCTCTGTCCCTGGTGACCCGGCATCCTCTCCAACTGCCATCTCCATGGGCCCGCGCCCTTCAGAGGACTGTTGAGAAGAGACGTGGTGGCACTGGAGGGACGAAGGATGCCCTCCCAAGTGGCTTTGTGGGAAACAGGCTCACGTGGACCCCGGTTGTCCAGTGTTCAGGGGGCTGATGTGGTGACCGTACTTTCTTCCCCACAATAGAGGACCCAAGGTCTGACGAGGGCCAGGGCACTCCCCAGGTGGCAGGACAGTAGGTGGAACCTGGGTGTTGTCCTGGAGATCAGGGGCACCGGGGCTGTGGCCACAGGTTGAAGAGTCGAGCAGTCTGCACACACAGGAGCCAGCAGGACACACAGGAGTCTGAGAAGCTGCAGTGCCACCCCTGCCACCCAGCCCAGTGTCCCTGTGGTTCCAGCAGCACCGTGGGCTATTTGGGGGGGGGAAGATGTGTGGAAACCCCCATGGTCTGGGGGCTCCCTGTCCCCCCCTGCCTCACCTTTCTGATGGTCATGGCTTGTCTGGGATTTCTGGTTCCCACATCAAGAAGGAGGCTGCACAGAGGTACAGAAAATATTGCCTCTTGTCCCCTGACCCTTTGAGGACACAGCCAGAGTCCTTGTGGCCAGAGCCCCTGTGGACAGGTGGACCACTGTCCCCGCTTCACTGCAGAGCTGAGGGCTACTGCGCCAGCACAGGAGCAGGGACTGGTGCCGGGGCTCTGGCGCTGAATCTGAGCCGCCTTGCTCCTCCGCGCTGCCCGGCTCTCAGCCTCCAGGAGGTGTCCCGGCTTCCAAGTCTTGGGTCTCAAGGGGGAGGTTTCCACAGCGCAGTGGTGACGAGGGGCTTGGAGGTCAGCCCAGCCGGGCTTGAATTCCTGCCCTGCACTCCCTGGCAGTGTGGACAGGCCATATAACCCCTCTGTGCCTCAGTTTCCTTTTGGTAAAATAAGACAAATAAAAGGTTGATTGGAATTTAAAATGATTTAAAACAGGTAAAGCTCTCGGGACGGCCCTGAGCATGCAGTAGGTGCTCACTCAGTGCCTATTGTGGTTATTATTTAGCACACGTTTGTCTGTAGTCTGCCCTGCTACTGCAGTGCCCACGCCTTAGGCCTGCCCAGGTCTCCCAGAGTCCCAGGTTCTAGACCTGCCTGGGACAGCTGGGCTCCGCGGGGCCTCCTAGAAGCTGATGGGTGTCTGTGGAGTCCTGGCTGCTGCCCTCTGAGAGTCCTCAAGGCCACGTCCTGTTCAGCCCCCAACTCCTCTGACACAGGCCTGCCTCCTCTTTGCAGATTTTAATGAGAACGGCTTCATCGACGAGGAGGACCTGCAGAGGATAGCCCTGCGCCTGCTCAACACTGACGACGTGTCTGAGGACCTGCTGATGGACCTCACGAAACACGTGTGTACCAAGGGCAAGGGGGCCGGTTGTCACCCAAAGCCCCGAGATGTCAGGCACCCTCTGGAAGAGACCTGGGGCCGCGCCTGAGGCAGACGCGTCTCGGCCAGTGGTTCGCATGTTCTGTGGGGGCTGCCTGGAGTCAGGCAGCTCGAAGTGCCCTGAGGAACGGACACCCAGCTGGAGGCAACTGCCCCTCAATTTCTGTCCCTCCTCTAAGACCCTTCCAGGGTCCCCACAGCAGTGTGCCCGGCCCACCTGCTCCAAAGGGCCTCCTACCATTAGGGTGGTCGCCACAGGCTGGGGAGCCAACAGCAGCAGGACAACAGATGGACATGTCACACACCCCCTCCCCACACTGCCCAGCGCAGCACAATGCCCAGGCGTCCTAGGGTGACAAGATGTGAGAGCAGCCCCACAAACCCAAGACAGGGCATGCATCTTTGTTTTCAAACCATGACAATGCTCAAATGTCCCTGCTCTGGGTGGGAACTAGGAGGAAGATAAAAGCATGAGCACTGCTGTCACTCTGCCTCCCTGCCCTTGTCACCTGGCCCTTGCAGTGCAGAGCCCCTGCCTGCGCTGAGAACCTGCTTCCCAAGGGTCAGAGGGCCTGGCCCTGGCGTCTGGCGGCCACGTGGCCTGTGGCCTCTCTCCCTCCCTCCTCCTGTGTCCCCATGTCACTGCCTGACACCAGGTTCCACTCAGCCCCTTCTGTGCCCTGACCAGGTCCTGAGTGAGTCGGATCTGGACAATGACAACATGCTGTCCTTCTCAGAGTTTGAACACGCGATGGCCAAGTCTCCAGATTTCATGAAGTAAGGAGTTCTGAGGGGGGAGGGGCTGCCCAGAATAGTAGGGGGTAGGAAGGGTCCCCCAGTCTCCCCTCGGCTGAGGGGGCATCTCAGTCTTCTCAAGGAGATTGTGAATTGCCAGGGCACTTGGCAGATTTTTCTAGAACCAGCAAAACTGGGGCTTCTAGAAATACCATGGGGTAGTAAAAGGCAGAGGGGAGGACCGGATTTCAGGCTTTCCAATGACAGGAGGGGTCCGGCCTCAGGAGCATGCCCTGCGACAGTCAGCACAGCTGCATGCCCCCCTGGCCACTGCCGGTCCTGCTCCCCTCCCCCACCGCCCCAGCGGTCCCTGGGAGTTGGGGGTTTGTGTGGGGAGTGAAGGTGCTGGCGGTAGAGAAGAAAAGAAACGTGACAAGAGAAGCACCCAGTTCTACATCTTGGAGCAGGAAAGGGCCCTAATGGTCATCTGTGGCCCAGGTGCCCTTGAGATGATCGGCCATCTCCATATCTCCTGGGCCTGCAGAACAGCGTGTTCTGGATCTTTCCAGTTACGGGAGACGCACTCCCCCTGGAGGCAGCCCCCACCAAGGCCTTCATCACCTGTGCTGGTGTCTGTGGACGTGAGGCCTACTCCTCGGTCCCATTCTGCCCCTCGGCCTCATGGTCTAGGTGGTGGCAAGGACGTGTGCCTACCCGAGATGTTTTAGCAAACAAACCCCAACAGGACGGAGAGCTAGACCTCAGCGAGCACCAGAGCAGGGGGCAAGACAGCTCGGTCCCTCTCTGTGCCAGCGTCCCTGCCTCTGCCCTCGGCCCCCCATGCTCAGCTTACCCCGCACACCAGCAGTCCCCAAACGCGGCCTCCCTACGGCGGGCAGGTTTTTATCTCCTTGGGTTTGAATGGCGTTCAGTGGCTTCTAAGTGGTGTCTGACTCCGCACCCCCAGAGAGAACCTGACTGGGGCCGCGCCCTCTCCCAGCCACCTGGATGAGCGCGGCCTCCACGCCAGCATGCTTGCCAGGGGGCCGGGGCTTGGCTGCACCCTCCTTAGAGACCCCAACCAGAGGAGATTCCTCTTCTCCCGTGACAGCTCACCGAGTAATGGAAACTAGGATCCTGCGCACCCCGTTTCTCTCTGAATCGCTTCCCGCTGTCCCCTGATTACAGCACAGCAAGGTTCCGAGACCCTTTGCATTCTGGTGATGCTAAAAGGAGCTTTAGAGAGAGGGACGTGAGATTTGGGCCAGGAAGGGCCTGAGAACTGCAGGCTCAGCGGCTCACAGAATTCTCTCCTTCAGCTCCTTTCGGATCCACTTCTGGGGCTGCTGACGTGGCAGCCAGCACAGCGAGCACCAGATCCCGCAGCCTCGAGGGGGCCCGAGGGAATCCACCCCTCCAGGCACTGGGGGTTTTGCTTTGAAGTATGACTTTGTCCCAGCCCCATCCCCCACCTCTTGAATATTGTTTATTAAATAAAACACAAGAAAAGCCGTAGCCCGTCAGTTCATCACTGTTTAAATGCAGGATCGCATACAAGTACTTTGTATCAAGAACTGCTCATTCCAGGGCTTAGGTTTGCAGTGACCGCAACCAAGCTGGACGGCAGTCTTTCCGAGGGCAGGGTTCACATCTCAGCCCATGTCATAGCAGAGGACCAGGCCAAATGGGATGACGTTCACTAGGAAAATGCAAGTCCTTCCCTCCCATGCCCAGAACCCCGGCCCTCATCCTGCAGGCAGATCCGCACAGGCTGTGCACATAGCGGTCATTCCAGCCGGGGTCTGGGTCCCCAGCCTGTTCCCAAGGGAGAAGACATCTTGGCCCCCATGGCACCCCCAAGCCCTTGAGATGGGACAGCATGTGACCAGAGATCAGGGTTTATTTGCTTTGCTATTCGGCCAAGCTCTGGAATGAATTTGGCCACCAGAGACCCCTTGGGGCCCAACTAATCCAGGATTTTAAGACACAGAAGAGCCCCTCCAATAGAGCCATTGGATGCCCACCTGATGGGCACATGGGTTCTCTTATCTATGCTGTCCTGGGGGAGGGGTCCAGAAGCTGCCACAGAGCCAGGACTGTTTCAGCCTCAGTTATACTTGAACCCTGCTGTGGTCCCCTTACCCTCAGGGCCTGACTCACCCATTCAGGGGCAATAAGGTTCCCGTTGCTTAATGGGGTCCCCTTGATCAAATCCAGGAGGTGCTGGAATGTCCTGTGGTGTGGGTACACACCTGGCCTCAGGTCCTCAACCTAGAGCCCGTCTACCAAGGAGCTGCCAGCCACATGCTGCCCTTGCCCCAGCAGGCAGGAGCCTCGTGGAGGTGGGGAGCAGCAGACACTCCAGACCCCCCAAGGCCACCCCAGGCATGTGGCCTAGGCACCCACTCCCAGCGCTCACTCTGGTCGGAGTAGCTTAGTCCTCGGCCATTTCCTCCCATCCCCTTTCAGAATCAGCGTCAGGGTAGACGCCAGCTCTACCTGTCCAAGCCAGTCTGAGCAGAACGCAGGAGTGGCCGCTTCCCATAGCTTCTCCCAGGCACCCACCCTCCACGGGGTCCTTGTGATCCCAAGGGCTACATCATCCCTGCCCCTCCGTCTCCACATGGGCCATGGCAGGGTGTGTCGCGCAAAGACCAGGGAGTCAGCAAGACCTGCATTCTAATTCTTGCTATGTCACCTCCCAGCTGTGTGAGCTTGGGCAACTTCTCACCTTCTCTGAGCCTCAGTGTCTCTATCAGTAAAATGGGACAACAGAACCTCCTTGACAAGTTCCTGGGTGGACTGATGCAAGGCAGGCTCTGATGGGCATTCCTTTCCATCTCACTCCCTGCACAATTGTTCTGGGGCCACCTGTCCCTTGTTCTCGGACGTGGGTGATCGGGCTTCCTCGCTTACACCAGTGGAAGCAGGTGGGAACTCTCTACCTGAGTGACCTGCCACTAAGGCTTGGGAACTCCCCAGTTCCACCTGTCCCACCTTGGGGGAGAAGGTGGGTGGACCCGCCAGGTAGCTGGACTCTGCTTTTCCTCGGCTCGAGTCCCTTGGGCTGAGCTTCCTACAGGCCCTTAAGACACAATGCTGTATGACCCTCGGGGGTGCTTTCCTGCCGTGGCATATATCCCTGTGCCCAGAGGAGAGGTGTGTGGGATGGTCATGACTAAAGATTTTATTCCAAGCAAGCCAATCTGCTGGGGGCCGAGGCTCTCAGGCCACTGGACCTCATGCTCTGAACTCAAAGTAGCAGTCTCTGCTCCGCCGCTCTTGTGGAGAGACCCTCTTCCCTGATGGGAAGGTCTGGTAGGTCCTCAGGTTCTCAGGGGACACTCTTAAAAGGTTCCACTTGTTCTTCAGGCTCAGCGGAGGCCTGGGGGTGAAGATGGGGCCAGTGTTACACAGTTCGCTGGAGAGGGAGGGTGACACCTGCCCAGGCCCCAGCCCACCTGCCCCTGCTGCTGCTCATGAGCTAGACACTTGACAAGTCACCCGGGATGTGAGATGAAGACAGCCTGCATCTGTACAAGTGCTTCAGAGAGAGGACACAGGCCTCAGACAGGCCCGCATGGCTTGCAGCCCTAACTCCTGCTAGAAGTGCACACATAAAAATGGACTTGAGTTGCTGTCTCCCTCTTGGCTTTGTTTTGAGGAGTAAATAGGCAATGCTCATAAAGCCATACCATAAAGCTGCACAAGGAGCAGACACTCGACCAGTGTGCTGGGGAATGGCGCTGGTGGTGCTGATGGGGACGGAGCTCCAGGAGGGGAGGGACTTGCCCCAGGCCCCAGAGCCCATCACCGATGCTCTTATCCCCAACCACCTGGCTGGCCCTCTGTGCTGGGCATGAAACTGTCAGCAGCAGTGCAGGCTGCCTGGCAATGTGGAGAAGGAACAGAGTTGGGGTGGCCTGGGCTCCCCAAAGCTATGAGAAGGGCAGGTTGTGGCCAGAGCAGTCTCAGGAGGAGACGTGTCCCCAGGAGAGGCCCATTCTACCTCCAGGGACGAACTGGTTCAGAGCCACCAGAAGCACAAAGATGGCCAACCCAGAGTCCTGGAGTTGGTGATGGGAGATGCCAATTCTTTTCCAATCCCAGCCTCCAGCCAGCCAGGCCACCCAGCGGAAGTCCCCCAGGTGATCACCAAGCCTCAGTTTCCCTAATTATAAATTGGGCCCATCTATCTTGCAGAGAGGAACTTTCAGAGGCAGTGAAGTCTGTTTCTTTAAAAACCATTAAACTTTATGGAAACAGATGCTGCTTTAGCAGTAACAAAGACTCCGAGAAACCCAGATCTATCCACTGACCTCCAGGCACAAGAAGAGGCCTGGGTGTTAGGAAGGAGACAGGACAGTAACTGCCTGCCTGGATCATCTGGCAGGGAGGGGTGGGCCTTACAAAGGTAAACAAGCTCTCTCGGATAAAAGCATCAGGGGCGGGCAATGAGGAACTTTCACTTTTTTTTAGATGGACAGTTGGACTTGCAAGATATTTTCAAGCCCCTAGGAGAACATTTCCGAGTCTGCTCGGTGTAGTTCCCGTTGCATCCGCCAGAGGACAGAAGCCCCTTGCTGCTGGCAGCAGCCGCGTTTGGACCAGTGTAACTGCAAGGCTGCGGTTGCAGGGGAGCGGTCTGCAGGTTCCAGCCAGCTCAAGGTTTGCTCCCAAGCTCTCAGTGCACTCACAGGTGGGTAGGGAGGGGGTACCGGTCCCGCTCTGTCATAGGCAGGACGAAGTAGGAGACCTGGGGCATTGTGCCTGTCTTGTCTCGATAGTACTTCCGTTGCTGCTGCACCATCTACAACTCAACCAAGGAAGAGATGACAGATTGTTAGTGTGGAGGAGTGACCTCAGGCACCTGCAGCCCATGCCTGGCTGAACCTGGCCAGGAGACCCCGGGGGAGCCTCAGAGTTCCTGGGGCTCTGGCTCAACTGCTGGCCAGCTGGGTGTTCACTCTGAGCCTCCGTTCCTCATCTAATGTGGATAATGACATCCACTCTACCAGCTTTGCCACAGACAGTAAGTGAGACAAGGATCAGCTAAGATAAAGAATGAGAACCCAGCCGCGTGGGCACACACTTGCTGTGCACACGGGCACTGTGGAAGCCCGGAAGCTCCGTGTGGGTTTGCTCATCCACATTCTGTGTGAGAGCCACTGAGACGGTCCCACAGCACCTCAGAGGCTGATGGCATTGACCTTGTCCTGCCCCCGGAGCCAGGTGCCTCACTCATACAAGTTCTCTGCCCTGGGACCAGGAGGAATCTGTGTCCTGGAAACCAGGCTAAGGGTGATGTTTGCAAAAGGGCATGGGAGAGCAAGGTCTCCAGGAACACAGCAGAGAATGAGCCCTTGGCCCCACAAAGGGATGAGGGCCAGCTCAGGCCTGTGCACTGTGGCCCGCTGGGGTGTGTTGGAACCAGATCCGGGCAGGGGGGAGGTTTATGAGCCAGAGGAACAGGACAAGAACAGGGGTATGGGTGCCCCCTTCCTCCTCCTCGCTTCCCAGGGGGCAGTTGGTCGGGTCTGGGGCTGAGGTTGACTGGGACACACACTCAGAGGGACTGTGGGGCAGGGAGGGGGCAGGGCTGGGCCGGGGGTAGGGGGCTGGTGTGTGGCCTTTGCTCATATGTGACTCACCCTGTGGGTGAATCTTAGGCCCTTTATTCAGCTAAAGGGCAATTGGGGGTCCACAGGGCCAAGAGACTATGGGGGCAGAGGGGAGGGTAGGAACATCTCCAGAGACCCCCACCCCCTGCCCCTGGGTTGTGGTTGAGGGAACAGGAACAGAACCCACTGAGGCCCCTGGGGGTGGGAGGAGATCAGGGAAGCAGAGTCCTGAGCCCTCCCCCTACCCTGGCCAAACTCACCAGGTTCCCTGCAGGCGCAGGGGCTCTGAAAATGCCAATCAAGACACTCTGGATCAGGCGTCCTCAAACTACAGCCTGCGGGCCACATGCGGGTGTTTTTGCCCATTTGTTTTTTTACTTCAAAATAAGATATGTGCAGTGTGCATAGGAATTCGTTCATAGTTTTTTTTTTTTTTTTTTTTTTTTTTTTTTTTTTTTTTTTTTTTTTAACTATAGTCCTGCCCTCCAACGGTCTGAGGGACGGTGAACTGGCCCCCTGTTTAAAACGTTTGAGGACCCCTGCTCTGGAGGGTGTGAGGTCTGCCCTGGCCCCGCCATCAGCCCCTCCCCTCGTGGGGCCGGCGGGCAGGCGGGGAGGCAGCAGCTGACCTGGTAGAAGTGAGTGAGGTGGCCGGCGCGGTTGCCATCCAGGTTGAAGCGGGTGTAGCAGGGCGTGCGCAGCGAGTGGTCCCTGATGTGCAAGCGGTCGTCGGTGAGCATGAGGTCGGGGTTGGGGGCGGAGAGGGTGGGGAAGTGGCCGCCTTTGCTGTGCTCCATGGCGGCGTTGCGGCGCCTCTGGAAGTAGTTGAAGGTGGTGGTGCCGTAGGGGGAGCCGAAGGAGAAGGCCAGGCCGGGAACGTGGCCATGGTACCTGCCACGGCAGTGGGGCAGGGGAGGCACAGATCACTGAAGGGCCACAGGGCCAGCTCCAGAGAGGCCCTTAAAAACAGAGGGTGAGGCTGGGGGCCCGGCAGTCGGCTCCGGCCTCGAGAGCCTTCCTACGGCGCGCCCGCCCACTCGAGGGTTCGGGGAAGGCCAGTGGCAGGGTCTCTGCCTGGGCGGCCAGCTCTCCAGACCGGGGGCTTACACGGGGGCCAGAGCACCCGTGCCCCTCAGGCGGGCCCGGAGAATCACTCCCCTCAGTGGGCCCAATGTACTCAGGGCTGGCCCGAGATGTGGGGACCCCCTCCCGCGCTGACGTTCTGTGGTCATCTCCTTAAAGAGTAGAGAGGATGAGAAGAAGCTGTTGGGGACCCAGTCAAGGAAACGTGACGGGTGCTAGATTCCTTACAGCCGAGGCCTGGATCCCGAATGCTCTGCACGGCCTGGCCCCCAACACGACGGCCTCCCGAGGTGCTACTCTGATGGGCCGGAGACCTCGACCAAGGCTCTGAGCCCCGAGAGCCTCGCAAGGAGCTCCTCACCCTCTGCGACCAACGAGGTGCCGTGAAAGGGACAGGAGGCAGGTAAGCAGAGACCTCGGTGACACAGGTGCTCTCAAGACCCCTGGTGAAATGAGACTCACTCGGCCAAAGATTTGTTTGGGCAAAGCACGAGGAGAGTCAGGAACCCCCAAGGAGAACGGGCATCGGACTGTGGCCAACACGGAAAGGACCACAGCTTTCCAACCAGCACGACCCTTGGCCCCTCTCACCCCTCCCCCCTCCCCCTCTGAAATTGAGCCTCTGCCCAGGATGCCCTTGGAATCGCTCTTTGCGAGGCCACCAGCACCTCTCCTGCCGCTACTCTACTCGGGGCACTGCTCATCTCTCTCCGCCCCTGCGGCACTGGGCATCGCTGGCCTCTCCCGCTACACTTGGTTTTTGTTACACCGTCATTTTCTGTTGCTTTTCCCCTACACCTCGGACAATCCCTTCTCAGTCACTCATGACCCCCTCCTCTGCCCACCTCTTAAGTGCTGGTGCTCCTCTGGGGTCTATCCTGAGCAATGGCAGCTACGTCATGACCTTGACCACCACCCGCGTGTGATGACACCTGGTCCCGGCTCCAGCCTCAGACGCTGCACACGGTTGCATGCAGACACCTCTCTGGGAGGCCTCCCAGCATGACCCCCCCCTCCCACCTTCCCCGGCGGTCCTGTCCTGAATCCGTGATGCGTGCTCCCTGGCTGTCCAGGTCAAATGCTCGGGCACCCCCTCCCCCACATCCAATGGGTCACCAAGTCCTGTAGCTCCATCTGCACCCTGGGAGCTCTGCCACAGCACCTCGTCCCTGGGCTGTGGCCGTCACATCCTCTTTGTTCTCCTAACTGCACTCAGAACCCTGCCCCTCCAATCCGTTCTCCATGCCTCCAGCACACTGAGCTTTCCAGAGTCGAATCCTTAGCGTGGCATCCAAGGCCACCCGTGAGCTGGCCCTCCCTACCACTCTAGCCTCAGCAGCTGCCCGCACCCCAGGCCTCAAGAGCCACTGCAGCTGTCTAGATGCCACTGTACTCTCGCTCTCTCTCTCCTTCCACTTCCTGGGTTCTTGCCCTGGGCCTTGGGCCTCAGTCTCCTCACCAGCAGAATGGGTGCTGGCCCGGAATTAGGCAGCGATGCATGCTTTCCTTCTTTTCATCTTCAGGAAAAAGGCAAGAAAGCTAAGCAGAGTGACTGCTGACAGACCTTAACAGACCTTCCCATCCCCCTCGCCTCCACTGAAGAGTCCTTCCCTGGCTCCTGGTCCCAGCCACCCTGGACAACGGCACCTTCCAGAGTCTCGCAGCTGGGCCGGAGTGGCAGTGAGGCGGGGAGCAGCCACAGAGGTGAGAGGCTGCACAGGCCTCTCTCGGACCTCACTGCTCATGTGCCTGGACACTATGGACGTGCACCCTTGACACCATGACCCTGGCTGTCCTGATACTTCTCCACCTGCCTCAGTGCCCTTCCTCCTGGTGCCCTGATCCCCTGCAGAGGCCATGCCTCCTGGCCTGGGCAGACGGTGGGGATGGGGAGTGCCTTATTGTCCTCTCCCGTGAGCTGTGTGGCCACTGTAGCCACTTCAAGACACAGAGTCCTCCTCCTCTTTGCCAGGACACAGCCCCCCTCATCTGCACCCCTCCCCCGCTGCCCCCAAGGCCTCATCTCCTCAACCCATCTCTCCCTGTATTGCTCAGCTTCTGTCCCTCCTCCTCTTGGCCATCTTTAATGTCCCCTCCCCTCTTAGCTTCTTCTACTCTGCCTGAGAATGAGCCTTTCCTGGACTGCAGGGTCCCCAGGACACCTGGCTGCCTCTCACGACTGTCCTCCTCCTGCACATCCCGAGCCCTCCCTGTCCCAATCCTGCACCTCCCTTGCCCTCCCTTCAGTCTGACTTCACACCCACCCCTTAAACGTGACCTCTACTTCTACATGAAGGTGATATAAGATCATCCAGTTACCAAATCTGATGTCCTTGGCTCAGACATCAGCATTTGATGATGTCTCCCTGCAGCATTTGCATCAAGGAGGGAACGTGTCTGGAGGGAAACCTAGAAGCAGAGCTCCTGAGATACTTCGTGCTGCAGATGACACTTAACAGAAGTGTAGATTCGACAAATCAAGACGCCAAAGACAAGTGACGGGACATGCTGCTTCCTCTGTCCTGAGAAATCCTCCACAGGCAGGGAGCTCCACGCCAGCCCTGTTCCCCGGCCCCTTGCTCTTCTTGTGCTTTGGAGGTGGAGGAACATCTGAGCGGTGAGTTGAGAAGAAAAAAACGGGGCTGCTTGCGGGCCAGCTCTCCCTCCTGTGCCTTGGAAGCAAGGAAGTGCGCATCGCCTTCCATGCCTTGGGTCTTGGACGGACAGACTGCTCAGGGGAGGACAGCCCGCTCCAGCCCAGCCACCTGTCTCATCCTGAGAGTCAGGATCAGCCTCATTCCCCATTGGCAGCGTTTACTCTTTCATCTTACTCCGCAAGTGGTTCGGAACGTAGGGAATGAAAGACAGGCCAGCTGTCAGGTGCTGCCAGACCCCAGAAAAAAGAGAAAGCAACAGAATGAAAACTAAAGATTGTCTGTGACATTGTGCAGGGAAAAAAGCGTGTCACACTGGCCGAGTGGCCGTTCAGGTGTAAAGCCGGTCTTTCCTCGCATGAAAGAACTCAGGAAATGAAGCTCTTAGAGACTCTTCTTGAAAGTAGTGTTCAGTGACAGAATCCTGCCAGCCAAGAGGTGAGTCAAAAGAAAAAGCCAGCTCGGTAATGTAGAAGCGCTGTCGGAATGAGCGATGGTGAGCTCCCAGCCTACAGAAGCGCAGGACTGGGAATAGCAACTAGGTGAGCGTCGGTTGCAGCACAGAATGTAAATGTTATAAAACCTGTCACAGTAAAGCTAATTTAGGCAGCCAAAATTGGGGGGTGGGTGGAGGGGAGATGGGAACACGCTTACTAAGAATCTCTTTAAATAGAGTCGACCCAACCCGTGGCATCGAAAATGAAACATGTCGTTAAAAAAAACACACAACATAATGACTCGAAGCCTAACCCTTCAATGGTTTTTAATCTCCTTTCTCTCTCTCCTTTAGAGGGATCTTTTAGAAACTAATATCTCTTCTAAGGAATTGACATTTATCTAAAGTCTACTATTTTTTTTTTTTTTTTTTTGAGACAGAGTCTCACTCTGTGGCCCTGGCTAGAGTACCATGGTGTCAGTCTAGCTCACAGCAACCTCAAACTCCTGAGCTCAAGTGATCCTCCTGCGTCAGCCTCCTGAGTAGCTGGGACTAGAGGTACAAAGTCATGACACTTGGCTAATTTTTCTATTTTTAGTAGAGAAAGGGCCTCGCTCTTGCTCAGGCTGGTCTCGAACTCCTGAGCTTAAGCCATCTCCCACCTCTGCCCACCAGAGTGCTAGGATTACAGGTATGAGCCACCGCGCCTGGCCTAAAGCCGACCATTTTATTTCAGTTTCTTTCCCTTCAGTGAAGACCTAGTAAGAGTAAATTTCATGCTTTTCATTTAAAAATAGCAAATATGATCATATTTTTATAAAATTGCCCTATCCTATATCCATCCGTCCATCTGTGCACCTCTCCGTCCATGTCATCTGAATATATAGAGAGAAGGAAACTGGGAATGAAGTCCACTAAATATTAGCCCTGGATAGTTCTGGGGGTTTGGATTGAGGGTGATTTATTTGTTGCTTTCTTCTTTGGACATATACCATTTTTGAAAAAGAATCAGATGGCGTTAAATGTTAATTTATTAGGAACCTACTGCTTGCTGGCACCACACTAGTGCTGGGAATACCAAGACCCTCCTTCCTCCAGCCCACCCCTTGTTCCACATCGACTGAGTCACCAGGAGCATGTGCCGGTGCCACACTGGTTCTGGCACAGGCACAACCAGCTCCCACACAAGTGGGACCATGGTCAAGGCTCTGATGCTACTAAACACAAGAGGGAAGGCCTGTTCCTCGGGTGGGCACTGGTGGACTCCATGAGTCATCTCTACTGGGGAGAACCTCAGAGCAGGGCATGGACTCTGGGTCTGGCTCCTTCCTTGGCTCATCTTCTGGGAGTTGGGGTTGCCCCGGGGCCTCTTCTCTCTTCAGGGACCCACTCCTTCTGGGGATCTCATCCATGATTTCCAACCCCTCCCAAGCACTGATGACAACCAGATCTGGGTGTCCAGCCTCAACCATTCCCCAGGCGGCAGATCCACACGCCCAGCTGCCCACATAGGGCTGCCCATGTGCCGCAGGTCAGCACGACTGAAGCCAGCCTCCTCCTCCTCCTGTGCACCCCTGCCCTTGCTAACACCACCCTGGCCACCCTTCACTGCTCCATAAACCAGGACTCCACAGCCCTGTGTCCTCCCTTCTCAATTACCCACCACACCCAACCCTTCCCTAAGTCTTGCGTAGGCCCCTCCTCAGCTGCCTGTCCAC